GAGTATTTGGGGATCAAATATCCACTTTCATGGATTTCGAAACTGGAAGTGTTTACACAATTACCGCCGACTCACCATGAAAATTCCTTAACTTCGATACCGCCTTATAGAGATTTCCTTCAATAACCCAAGCTAATTCACAGGTATGTTTTAGATGTATGTCTAAATGTGGGATTTAACTAGAATGAAGTCAATTTGGAGTTATACCACATGTGCAATATTGCCGTCGAAAATCAATAACAAAACGGAGTTTTTGTTATCCATAAAACCTATTCCTCATTTTTGAATAATTTCTGCTCGGTGAGTGTCGCTTTTGCTCTAAAAGAATCTTCTAGTAAAAGAAATACAGTGATTCTGTTGAAATAAAGTGTCCAAATTTCTCCGTGCGACTTTGTTTGCGAACGAGAGGCAAGTTGATGTATGCAAATTTCACGTAAATGATTAGCCAATTTTGTGACTCCGACCACAAAAACCGATATTCTAATTTTTCTAAAAAATAAAAAGCTTTTGGCAGGAACAATCCACATCAGGTATCTTATCTACCTAAAAGCTACTTATGGACAAAAAACGAAAGAAAGCGATTTTTCAACTCTTGCCACGAAATTAAGATTTTGGTCGATATTTCCTGACCGTCGCTCTTAAACGTTAATAGAGGGAGAGCAGTAGTCAAGAGATGGGGTGCAATATTTACCTGTTTCAACTCTAGAGCTGTTCATCTGGAGTTGGCTACTTCCTTGGAATCAGATTGCTTCATTAACGTTCTTAGGAGATTCATTAATTGAAGGGGCCACTTAAATGTATTTACTCTGACAACAGAACCAATTTCATTGTGGCTGAAAGATAGATCAGAGGAGCCAGTGACAACTAGAACCAGAAAGAGATCCAGGACAAGCTGCTACAGAAGGGATGCCAGTAGATATTCCAACTACCTAAGGCTTCACATGCCAGTGGTGTTTGAGAGAGGCTGATATGTAGCACCCAAATGGCCACGAAGGCCATCCTGAAAGAAAGCTTGGTGGAGGAAGAGGTGCTCACAACAGTTCTCACTGAGGTGCAGTTGATATTGATATTGATGGAGATGTAAATATCAATTCAAGATGGCCGCTATTTTCGGCCTCTGGGTTATATCACTAGCTTTTGTAGTTAATCTACTGGCACACACGCTTCCAAGCCAGCTTGGAGACAGCTCTTCGGAGTGCTCATTGAAATCGACCAACAATTTTCAAGCCCACTATCTCAGAAGAAATGCTGTGAGCCGCCGAATCTCAAACCAACTTCGTCGACATCAAGTATGCTGGACCAAACATGGTCAAACTTGTCTTTCGCCTCCTGACTTCCATCAAGGCATCGATATAACTATCTGTATGGATATTGCATCGAACCCTGGTCCCCATCCGAATCAGAGAAACAATCTGCGAGCACTATATCTGAATGCACGAAGTTTAAAAGCAATCGTGACTGCCGAAGGTTCTGACCGAAGCAAAATATGCAAAATCACCATCTTACAATCTTACTGACAGATTGTCTTTCGGAGTTATTGTGACTAGCTCCCTTTCATGGGATTCACATGTCCATACCATCATCGCAAAAGCCAACAAGCTACTTGGGCTTCTAAAGCGTACATGCCCTTTTCTGACCGATGTTTCAGTCAGGCGGTCCCTCTATCTGGCTTTGGTAAAGTCACAACTGTGCTATGCAACGCAAGTGTGGTCCCCAGCCCAATTCAGCCTCAAAAGTCAGCTTGAAAGAGTACAAAGACGTGCAACAAGATGGATTCTAGGCACCAGAATTGGGGAAATGAGCTACCGAGACCGGCTTATCAAGCTGAATTTTTTCCCTCTCGCCTACGACCGCGAACTTAAGGACCTTGTGTTTCTTTACAAATGTCTGAATAACTACACGGATCTAAACATCCTTAACTTTGTTTCTTTTATTTCCCACGGCCGCACCAGACGAAGTAATTCCTTCAATCTCACAACACCTTCATGTAAAACAAGTACCTTTCAGGCCTCCTATTTCAACCGAACTGTTAAACTCTGGAACTCCGTATGTACCTTGTCACCCCCGTCCAAGTTTTCTAACCCGACCGCCTTTCAAACTTTTGTAGCTAGACACATGTTCTCTCTTTTTTACATTTTTCATTTTTTTTTTTCTTTTTTCTTTTTTTTTTTCGTTTTTATTAAGGGTAGTGCCCCGCATGGGACTCCATGTCCCGTTCGCATTGACCCTTTTGGCGTATGTCTATCCATTTTTTGTCTCTTTCCTTGTATATGCATTCATTTTGAGCTTGTAGACGTACCCAATAAAGTTGTTAAATAAATAAATAAACAACTCCAGGCCCCTCTGTGCAGTTCTGATCCCAATGAATACAAACCTTTGACCCCCAACCACCTGCTACTGCAGAGAGCTGTCCACACTTTGCCACCTGGTTCTTTTGTGAAGGAAGACATTTTGGCAAGAAAGAAGTGGAGACAGACAGGTTTTTAGCTGATAATTTTTGGAAAAGGTGGTTGAAGGAGTACATTCCTGCCTTACAGGAGAGACAGAAATGGCAAAAACTCAGACGAAATGCAGAAATTGGAGACCTTGTACTAGGAGGAGTGGTTGGCAAGGGGGCAGTGGCACATGGGTCGAATCGTTTGAATAGTTCACAGCAGAGATGGGCTTGTGGGAATGGTTGAAGTGAAGACTGGAGCGCCAACATCATTAGTGCGACCCATTCAGAAACTTTTTTTATTAGAAGAGTTGGGAAACCTTTACCGAGATTGAGACATTCTGTGTAACTAATTTCGAACAACTTATTCCTCTGACTTAATAATTAAGGGAATACATGTTGAGTTATTGTTGTAATGCTTCACTAAGTTGCACGTGGGGTGGGGTGTTAGCTGAGTTCCCAGATTTTTTGTTTTACATCAAATCTTGCAGATGTTTGGTACATTTTTCCATTGATCCTACTGACATTTCATCATGCATAGGGATTGGTATTGGAGTGAGTGAAAAGTGCTTTGGTGATAAAAATTCTCGTTATTGCCTATTAACAGTCTGAAATTCAGACCTTTTTAGTATTTGTTTCTTTGGGCAACTTGCCTTTTTTTTCTGGTGACATAACTAAAATTTCAGGCAACATGACTCAGGTTTCGGGTGACATGACTTTAGGCAAGATGATATTCGGGCAACTTGACCATAAACCACTTGAAGATACTGCTGACTAGAATGCCTTTTATCACAAGTTGTGAGAACGTCACTCCCAGGTTCCAGACCTTGCCAATTCTTCCCTTCCCTCCCCACCCCCCCGGAATGATCTCTTAATCCCTTTGAAAAACTCTACAGCCACAGCTGAAGAGTTTTATTACAGTTTTTATTTTACTGAGGGGATAGAAAATTAACAAACAAGAGCTTCACTTTTAGGCTTGGCTAAATCTATATATTAGATCTATATTACTTTGCATCAATTTTATTGGCTTAAATGCAAAAGTAGAAGATATTTTTGAAGTTGTAATAAAAACTTACTGGAGAGTATGCTAAAATCTGTTTATTTTTTCCTCTTTTAGATGTTACATTACATTAGTCTTGGCCCAAAAAATCGACAGCTGGGGTATTACAAATCCATATGGTTTACTACGCTGTAGATTGGCTCTTAAAATTTCTTAGGTGGGAAGGCTGCAAATACTCCATAAACCAAGTTTGGTGCGCCAAATATCAACCATTGAATTACATAACTTTCCATTATGGTTTTCCATTTTTCCGAAATAGGGAAAATGGTTTGAAAACAACTTTGTTTAGACACAAATACAAATATGTATTGAGGGTTCTCCCTAGTTTTCAGCACAACAGGTAAGGGACCTTTTCAAACCAGTAAAGCACATTTGCAGCTTCAGGCGGCTGGTCCTTCTCAACTTTGTCATTTCCTAAAGCATACAGTACATTGCGCCTACCAAAAATTTTCCATTGAAAAATTCATAATGTGAATAATACACCTTTAGGTTCAGAGGTTGAACAAAACAAAGTAAAACTTTGTTTAAAAGCATTATATCTGACTATGCCCTTTCCAAATTGCTTAATGTAAACTGGCCTTCCTTCAATTTCGGGTGATATCTTTGGCGTCACTTACATGGCATATCGCTGGAAAATCAGCGGTGCCACCTATGAATTGCATCACTTTGAACTCGAATTACGTTGAATAGTTGAATTCGTGCTCTAATTGTCTCAAATTCAGAACGTTTACGCTGTCAAGAGATTTTGTTTTCAAGGCTTCTTTCAAATCGTTGTCTGAAACACTTTTCAAGTAGAATTTCCCAATGAAGACTAGCTTTTTCCCCACGTGTTCGTTATACAGCCAGCAATTGTAGAGCTGTCAAGGTGGTTATTTCTGGCAATTGGCTGCTTTTCCATCGCCAGTATGTAACCTTTGTTTTGTTTATCCTTAAAAATTCTTGTAAAGCTTACCAGCTACTCTTTGTGACCTCTTGTTACTGGACAGGAAGGACAGCATTGTTTGCTGCCGTTTCATCATGGAAACTGAACAACTACATGACACCACATTTGCACGTGCCTCTGCACTGACAAATGTCATGAGATTTAGCAAAAAGCCCGTGAAAAATCACTCTTGCTTCGAAATTCGAAAGGTACCACTTAGTGTTAACTAACTAAAGCATACGTAGATCTATAATAGTGCACACTGTTGGCTTCTTATTACACTTTCTTACGAGATTAGCTCACCATAAATGCGTATTTTTTAAGGGTTCTGAGCGTTTGCAGGCGGTAATGAGTGCTCTTACAAGCGGTAGATCATACCGGTTACCACCTGATAAGGAGAACCCTGTGTGGAACCCTATGTGGAAACCTTAGGCGACCTCTCCTTTTCAAAATTACGGAGAATTCCCCGTGTCCACTTCCGGGAGAAAGCTGCATCTGAGGTGTATTAATAGCTTGCAACCATAAGCCAACAAAGCAATGAGTCACCACAGCAATTCCTTCTCCATGCTTTGGACCTGCATAACATGGTAAATTTCGCCAGTCAGGAATCGGATTGTGAGTCTAATTATGGCCTCTCGCTGATCCAGAAGACAATTGTAAAATCCTTCGAAACTGGTCTTTGTGATGATATTTCAGCATCCAACCTAAGAACCACCCTTCGTACCCCAGGGCTAACTGATGAGGAACTTATGAAACAAGTTAATGAACTAGCTTCACAGCAAGATGAGCATACCACAAAATTGGCAACTGAACACCAAAAAAGGGCCAAAGTAAACGCTTGCAAAGTCCCCAGGGAGGGAGGAGAACAGAGAGCCAGGAACCCAAGTTCAGACAGGAGCCAACAGATTCTTTCTGAAATCTGGCAGATGAAATCAGAAATTAACGACCTCAAAGGTAGAGTTAATGCCCAAAGCGGCCAGGTGGCAAAACCAAACTGAGGCAGATCCCCCTACAGAGGCCATAGAGGTGGTTACCAGTCAAAAAACCCAAGTTGGGGTTGTCAAAGTTGTAAAGAGCGTGGAAGAGGAGAGGAATGTGACCATTGTTTCACTTGAGGTATCTCTGGACATGTAGCGCGTGAGTGTAGAAGAAGAAGGCATCAGGCTAGTCATCTGGGAAACGACCAGCAACTATTCAGGTGGGACACAGAATAGTCGACAGTAACAGCTACAAGTCCCATCAATGTAATGGCACTGGCCAAGTTCAGTTGGAGAGAGTAAAGTTGTTGCAATGTTCAGAATGTAAAATGGTGAAATACTGTAGTCGGGCTTGTGAAAAGAAATACTGGCCAGACCATGAAGTGCTATGTACCACAATTTCACACATGTCACACAAAGCGGAGCCAAAGACCTTGGACCCTAGTGATAGTACCTTTGTTAGTCATCTGACACCACGACAGCATGCCACAGTGGTAGGATTGGTGGAGAAAAGATGCACTGTTAAAGGAGAAATCAATGGTCATTCAGTAGGTGTACTGTGGGACACAGGGGCCCAGCTTTCGTTTATATCCAACAACTTTCTTGAGGAAGAATTTGTCTGGTTTTGTTGTTAAAGATATTTCGGAATTGCTAAACATCAAACTAAACTTGATTGCTGCTAACAGTAGCGAGATGCCACACATAGGATGGGTGGAGCTAAATTTCAGACTACTGCCTTACAAAAATGATTTGAAAGTTCCACTTCTTGTTACAGAATAACATTTGGACTCGCCATTAATTGGTTCTCATGTTATAGAAGAAATTATTGGAGATAGCAATGGGGAAGTGGTGTTGTCCCAAGCTATCACCTCCAGCTTCCCTGACCTTGACAGCCGAACAGCTCGGGCATTTGTGAATTTTATTAAGAACCTTAATCAAGAGGAACTTTGCTTTGTTCAAACTAGCAAGCATGACACCACTATACCACCAAAGCAGAGTCAAAGAGTGACTTGCAGAGCAAATACGGGACCAGTGGGAAGACCTACGCCAGTGCTGTTTGAACCTGATGAGACCAGCCCATGGCCTAATGGTTTGGAGGTCTCTGAGACCCTGCTGACTGTAAAGAAAGGAAAATCAAGTCAAGTGGACATTGACATCACCAACAACACCAGCCATGAGATTTGGCTGAGACTGAGACTTGGCCGACTACAACTTGTCCAGTCGGTGATACCAGTTGAAGTGAAGATAAAAGAGCCTGAGAGTAGTGCCAGAGACACCCAACCGGAGGGGTACAAGTATCAGAGACTACAGAGCCAGTCCAAACAGTTAATGAAAGGTTAGGAGGGGTTCCGATAGGGATTCCCCTGCATATCAGAGACATAGACCTGGAAGTTCTGACACCTGGTCAGAAAGAGATGGCTTTATAGTTGCTCACGGAGGAGGCTGATTCTTTTGCTAAAGATGATAATGATGTTGGATGCATACGTGACCTTGAACTTGACATAGATTTAGAGCATTATACATCTGTACAGAAGAACTATGTAGCAGTACCAAAACCACTCTATCCAGAGGCCAAGGCCTACATTGAAGATTTGTTAAACCAAAATTTTATCAAGAAATCATCATCCTGGTACAGCTCTCCAGTCGTGTGTGTGAGAAAAAAAGACCAAACCTTACTGCTGTGAGTGGATTTCAGAGCACTGAACAAGATGACACGACCAGACCGCCACCCGATACCCTGAATACAAGTGATGTTGGATAACCTCAGTGGCAACTCATGGTTTTCTGTTCTTGACCAGGGGAAAGCTTACCATCAAGGGTTTATGAGTTCAAATAGCCAGCCTTTTGACAGCCTTCATTACCCCTTGGGGTTTGTATGAGTGGGTCTGGATACCATTTGGTCCTTCCTGTGTGCCTGGAGCATTCCAACATTTTATGGAGAACTGCTTAGGAGACTTTAGAGACACTGTCTGTGTACCCTACCTGGATGACATTATCATATTCAGTGCCACCTTTGAGGATCACATTGAAAACACATGCAAGGTTCTTTGACAACTAAAAGAATATGTAGTCAAACTGAAACCTCGGAAATGTAAATTGTTTCAGAGAGAGGTTACACTCCTTGGGCGCATTGTGTCAGAAGAGGATTACAAGCTAGATCCATCCAGTGTTAAGCCTGTCCTTGCACTCAGAGACTTGCCTCCAAAGACAGTCAGTGAGGTGCCCAGACTTATGGGTTTCCTGAACTCTTACTGGCGATATGTTGAGGACTTTTCTAGAACCGCCAAGCCTATCTATGATCTGGTGAAGACACCTAGTCGCCCTCCACAGGAGGTTCAGTGGGACAAACCTATGAAGGACTGCAGTAACAATGGCCAATTACCGGCAAACACCTAGTGGATTGGACCGACATTCATCGATCTGCCTTGTGGACCCTTATCAACTCAATCACAAGTGCTCCAGTAATGGCATATCCTGACTTTCAGAGACTATTTGTGTTCCATAAAGACACCTCCAAGGATGGCTTAGGTGCCGTGTTGTATCAGTATCAGGATGACATTTTCCGTTTTGTTGCATATGGGTCGCGCAACTTGACTCCAGCTGAGAAGAATTACCACCTCCATTCTGGGAAATTGGAATTTCTAGCCCTCAAATGAGCTATCTGCGATCAGTTTCAAGACTATCCCTATTACGCACCAAGTTTTAAAGTGTTCACGGATAATGACCCACTCAACTGTGGCTTATCCTCTGCAAAACTGAATGCCACCAGTTTGTGCTGGATTGGAGAGTTAACTGATTTCAATTTCACTATACACTATCGCCCAGGAAAAGCCAATGTTGATGCTGACGTTTTATCTCGAATGCCTTCTGAGGACACAGCTTATACAGAAATAGTAACACAGGATATCCTTCAGGCTATTGTATTTTCAGCAAAATCTCAAGACTGAGGACAAGTGAATTGGGTGTCCGCCCTCACAGGAGACCACAGCATCCTATCAACTGACTCATTTAGAAGAGAAGAATCCACAGGACCAAGAATAGACCTCAAGCATGCACAAGCCACTGACCAGGTGGTTCGTCAAGTGAGTGATTTAATCCAGCATGGCCAATGACCACCAGCAGCAGAGAGAAAACATCAGTTGGGTGAGACGTAACTTCTCCTGCATGAATGAGATAAACTATCCCTTGATGAGGATGGTATAATCAAACGATGTAAAGGAACTAGGACTCAAGTTATTGTACCCAGACAGCTTTGTTCACGTATCCTCAAGGAACTCCATGAAACATGGGTCATCTCTGGGTGAACTGCACACTGAACCTCGCCAGAGAGCGCTTCTATTGACCCCACATGCAGCGAGATATTGAACACCATATTGGATATGTCTGTTCATGCGTTAAACAAAAGGCCCCCCCGCTTAAGACTAGAGGCCCACTAAATCCCATTGTGACTACCTTGCCTTTTGAACTAATTGCCATTGACTTCCTTCATTTGAAGAAGAGTAGAGGAAGGTACAAATATATCCTCATTGTGATGGACCATTTCACACGCTATGCCCACGCCTATGCTACAAGAAACAAGTCAGCTAAGACAGTTTCCCAAGAACGTTACAACAACTTTATTCTCCGGTTTGGTTTTCCGTTCAGAATTCACCATGATTAAGGGGAGAATTTGAAAATTGCCTCCATCAGGAGCTCGAGAAGCTCTGTTGAGTGGAACATTGTCACACCACCCCCTATCACCCCCAAGGGAACAGTCAAGTTGAGCACTTCAACCGGACACTTTTGGGAATGCTTCGTACCATGCCAGAGACCCAGAAATCACGTTGGGCAGAACACTTGAACCATGTGGTACACACTTATAACTGCATAAAACACGAATCAACTGGCTACTCACTGTTCTTCCTCCTCTTTGGTTGCTACCCCTGTTTGCCAGTAGACTTAATGTTTGGAACTGAAGATGAAACCAACCATGTGAACTACTCACAACATGTCGAAAAGTGGTGAAAAGCAATGACAGAGGCATAAAATTAGCAAGCACGAAGTCCCACAGTATCCATCCATGCCTCAACCTGTGTTCCAGTCGGTTAACCAGTTCCCTGTTCCCTCACCTATCATGTATCAGCCAAGGAGTGATCTGATGCAAGCACCCATAACCATGAACTCTGGGCACGTACCTGTACCTGGCTTTGTGTTTTAAGCGAATTTTTAGTGAATTAATTTGTTTGAAAAAAAATGCACTTAGATACCCGTTTGATTTCTTGTCTTAGAAACGAGTTCCAGTACTTCCAAATGATACGAGTGTACCCTATGGACGGGAGATGCTACCGTAAATTTCAGTTGCTGCAGCCTTTTATTCGAGATTGATACGTCAGGATCCTATTGATTTACGAGAAGATATGTGTAACTTTCAGTATCATTCCCCTTTACAGGTGTGAAACCTCTTAATGTGTGCTATTCACATACACAGTTTATGTGCAAGTGTCAGGGATGACACTTTTCTTTGGGGGGGGGAGAGTTTGTTAAGGTGTAAACAAGTATAAATAAGCGATAACTGTAACGGAAACACGTAGCTTGTGACGTAGTCACCTACATCCGGGATAGTTGAAAACAGTGCTTGTTGTAGTTTGTGACTAGTGGTTCTTAGGGCACGAGTAACATAACAATTACACATGAACATGTTTGAACTCAAAACTGTTAGAAATTATATTGGGAACAATGTGGAATGTGCATACTGCACCATACATGTATGCGTACAGCATCATATTCTGGCACACACTCTCTTACCTGCGGTGCAACGTTTTTTTTTTGCTGGCGTGACTTTTTTTCCGGCACAACTTTTTTTTGCTGGTGCGACTTTTTTTTGTTGGTGCGGCTTTTTTTGCTGGTGCAACTTTTTTCGCTGGCGCAACCTTTTTTTCCTGGCGCGACTCTTTTCTCTAGTGCTCATTTGTAAACCGCTGCTAGTTTTATTGCGGGCTCAAAGTACGAACACATGTAATTGTGAGCAAGATGGCTGACTCGTCTGACTCTGATCTAGAGAAGGTGAGTAGTACTCTATTTAGTTCTGAATACTGCCATATTTGTAAACGAATTGAGAAAATGAATAGAGGGAAGGTAGTAAATTTTAATGTTTTGCTTTTTTGTGTTGACAGTGTAAATTATCCGTCGAAAAACAAAATCAGGCTATGCTTGAAAACCACAACAGGCAGAACAAGCTTGATTCTTACTTTATTTTACGCTGACAAGAAATTTCAAGTATAGCAATACTCTTAATAAATATCTGGTCCTAAATTTAGGTCAAAAATTAAGCAAAAAATCGTTTGAAGACAACATTTCAAGTTGTAAATGCAAAAAGGAAAAAACAGGAGGAAGATCTCTCAAGATCTTACCTAATCAGTGCAAAATCTTGTTAGTAGTGTACATCAAAAGATCTCGGAAGATCTTAGGGAGATGTTCAACCTTGATTCAGTTGATTTCTGGTTGGCACACGAATAACGATTATATCAAAAATAATATTATCATGAAATGCAGTCTGTTTTAAACAATATCAAGCTGTACTTTTAGTTTTTATCCTATGATGTTGTTGATGCATTTACAGGTTTGTAACTTTCTACGACAACAAGGAGTGGAGGAAAGTGTAGTTGAGAAATTTAAGGAAGAAAAGGTTAGCATTTGGTCGTTTCATACCTAGCACCCCTCCAGGCAAGGTTCTGTGGCATTAGAGGGTATATTGAAACTAACTCCTAAGCAGATGCCTGTGAGTTGTCATAGCAAGCCAAAATCACTTGCTAGTCAATTAACTTCAGCTGGCTACTTTTGTGTCATTTTACCATCAACAACATATTTTATTAAGAACAAAAAACCATTGCTTAAACCATCATGACCACTTACTATTTCTTATCAACCTTCCACTTCAAAATTGTGCACTGATCAATAATATAGATATCTCAATCTCCCCTCCCCTCACAAACATACACACACCCAGACAAGGTGGAGATTTGACTTGACATCGTCACAAATGTTAATAAACTCCCACACCAATGGGGTATGACAAACTTGAAACTTCATTTGCATGTAACACAAATTATGACTTTATTTCATAGAACAATAAGAGCCAAAGAATTACACAGAGTGATCAACATGGTGGGCGTTGAACATGTGGGCATTGAAGGAGGCAAATTTATCATCGTTGACCATGCATCTGAGACTAAAGAGACTACTACTTAGCTTACTACTAATCGCAGTGAAACTCAGTTCAGTTGGACTGGCACGCCTGGAAATTTCGAGTCTTTCATTTTTCACAAGCTTGGTTTCTCATTAGCCGACATTTTGTTGAAGACCAACAACGGAACATGCCCCATTTCGAAAACTGCAAACATGAAACCTACACTCAAAGACTAAAACCTTCCTGCTTCAGAGAAAAGTGGTACATGCACAATTCACAAGAAACTCGCTTCGCCAGACTTGTGAAGCTATACAACTTGACATACACGCAAGCTCCGCAATTACTTCAAGTGAAGTAGTTCACAACAACCTTGAGCAAAAAGACGATGATCAGCAAGAAGAAGAGCTGAATTTAATGGCAGATGAGAAGTCCGACAGTGATGCCATGGATGGTGGAACTAGTTGTTTTTGAATAACTTCAAAACCACCGCCGACTCCATTGAGGTGTCAATTACTAATGTGGGTGAGAAATTTCCGGCCGAAGTTGCTAAAATCTGGTCGGA